GGCTGCCCGGGCCCTGGGGCTCTGCCCAGAAGGCAGCAGCTCCATGCCCACGGGGATCAGCTCCAGCCCAGCCCCTGGCACTACCACGCACGAACCAGCAAGGGCCAGGCACCTTCATCAGCTCAGGGTCCCTGCGGAGCTGGCACTGGCAGCCCCACAGTGCCTGATGCAGCCCGGCCAGGGCACCCCAGCCCTGCACAGTGACCTGGGAGCCGATCTCTCCCCGGCTCCACCTGCTCACAACGCGCAGCTGCCCGAGCTGGGAGCGAGGACGGCCGGCCCAGCCACAAGCCCCATGGGAGGGCGCTGCTGGTGCAGCTGCACGGAGCTGGCTGCTGGCTGCCCACAGAGCAGGAGGGGTCTAGCAGCCACCCACCCTCACAGCCGCCTGCCCCAGTCGCTAGCTCAGCACCAGCCTCCTCCCGGGCCCTGCCTTCCCCTCCTGCACTCTCCCAGCACCGTGCAGGGGGGGCAGGCAGCTAAAGTGCCCCTGTCTGCACACACACACGTGACCGTGCCACAGTTGCACCCCCTCCCGCTAGTGCCACTGCAAACATGGGCAGGGCTGGGCCCCGTGCAGCTTGGGCAGCAGGGCTGAGCGGTGCACCCGAGCTGGGAGCCCGCACGCCCTGCCCGCCGGCCCCTGTGGCCCAGCCCTGGCCATGCGCGGGGAGCAGCACTCACGCCAAAGCAGCTCAGCAGCTCCTTCTTGGTGGCAGGGTCTTGCTCCTGCTCCAGATAGCGGCCCAGCGCCTGCAGGATGCTAAGGGAGGCGTTGGGCCGCAGCGAGGCCCAGAAGGAGCCGTTGTCGAGCAGGCTGGAGAGCAGGATGGCCTCGCCCAGCGGCCCCTGTGCAGCCCGCGCCCCCGCGCCCAGCTCCGGCAGCGCCAGCACGAAGCGCAGCAGGCGCAGCAGGTAGTTCACGTTGAGCAGCCAGCGCGCCGTGTCCTCCTCGCACCAGGCCAGCCGCGACACCACCTCCAGCAGGTAGGACACGGGGGCCTCGCACAGCCGCGCCGCCTCCACCTGGGGCGACAGCGGC